AGCTACTGGAATTTCAGTCTGTGGGTGAGAGGGAATAGTCTCTACAGAGTCTTTACGCTTTGAATTGACCTATTCAATACTTTATTAAACAGGAAATATAGCAAATATGGATACAGTCACTTCCCAGGTATATCGATATGGGAGTATCACATTTGTGTACAAATATATGGTACACAAAGATCCAGCTGATTCTTCTCAAACGTCGAACTAGCCTTGTACAAGTATGACATTAGTGAACTAGTCAGCTAAAATCACATACAGTGTAACCTCATTAATACGAACACCAACCGATGGTCAAATTTGATCTCCTTATCCTGAGTAATGTCAATTGAATAACAATTGTAGGGACCTGATTTATGGAATTATTTGTTCGTCTTATCCGGAAATTCCTATTAACAGTAGTCTACTGTAAATCAGTAATTATATCCAATATTCTTAACTGATTTAATCAAACCCCATTCACTAAGAAGACATCGATTTAGAATAACCAATTTTACAACAAGGAGGTAGTCATACATTCAGGCATCCAGGAGTTATTTTACACTAATCCAAGGCTAAAGCTACTGCGACGTTTGTGTACAGATATATTTGTACACAAATGTCGTACTGTCTCTACATAAACATCTTCCTCCGATCAGAAATATATCAAAGCCTTAAATTGTATAAGTATGGTACCAAACCGGCAAACTAATATATATTTTTATCGGTTATAATGAACTCCGCGTTTATCTGAAGTAATTATCGTGGTTATTGAGCTTAGAAATACAGGAGTTGACAAGTACATCTGCGTTGTGTAGAGGTCACAGTCTATATGTATATATATGTTCGAGCGACGGAATATCCTTCATTCGTAAGAATGATACGTACAAGTATATCTGACCTGTTTATTAACCGTCTTAGCAAGACGTACATGTTGAGCTTTAACATCCATCTGTTCCAGTAGCTGACTTAGTGCTTGTTCTATAGGCGCACTGTCTTTAGTCGGACTATCCTGTGACATCTGTAATTCTCTAGCTAGATGCTGGTGATGTATTTGTAGTGTAGCTAGTTCTTTCTCTAACTCTTCAATCAACCTAAACAATCAAATAAGAATCCAAAAATTCCACAGAATATTATGTTATGCTTCTAATACATTAATTGTATTAAGTAATAATGGAATACCAGAATTTCTCAAAATGTTTAGCCTCTTACATGTGAGAACTTAGCAATATTTGTTATAAGAATGTATTATTCCTAGATTGGTACCATTTTCGGTGTGGAAATACAGTTATTTCCGGAGTTATCTTTCTAGCAATCACTGATGGTTAATTTTAGACAAAAATATATCAGAGGCCTTATTAACTAAAATTCTTAAGTCAAATCTTAGAATTTTAGTTAATAAGGCCCCAGGTGAGTGAAAATTGAGGATCTTTGTCATCTTTCCTTTACAGTAACACTAATCTACTGAATTAGACGTAGTAATATTAGTGAGAAGGAGCGCTCTCCAAATAACATGTGTAAATACAGTAACATACTTTTTAGAATCCTCTTTGGGTAGACATTCGCCTATACTTCTATTCCTTTCACTCACTTCCTTCCCTCCAGGTCCATGTGATCCTCTCCCACAAACAGCTGTGTTATGACTCTTCAGGAGAGCGATCAACTGTTGATAGTTTGCTGCAACAGAGTGAGATTGACTTGTAGAAGTCCCAACCACGAATGGAATATCTTTAAGCTGAACTCTGTAGTGATCACGAGATTTTGTGTTTGTGTGTTTGTGTTTAGTCAGTTTATTGCTGATAATTTTCTTCTTCTTAACTCGAGTACGTGAGTGAGGACATGAGGATAGAGCGGTAGCACGAGCTAAACTTAAATTAGCGTCCTGACCTGCCTGAAGGTCAGCAGCCTTCTCCTAGATTATATATATATATATACACCGATTATGGTCTGTGTGTTACGAACCAAATGAATCTAAATTTAGCGCTATGTTTGTACAAAATTCTGGCATTTTTGCAATTTTTGACATTCAAAAATTTCCACCTTCTGCCGGTAGGAGTTTTAACTGAGCGAGCTGTAATACCAAAATTACCATTTCCATTTCAATAGATAGTCATATCCCTCGATTTATGACTGTAGCCATTAACAGAACCTCATTAGTACGAATACCAAAGGACCCTAAAAAACGGTCGCCTTATCAGAAATTCGTATTAACCGTATTTTATGGAAAAACATTCATTGAAGGAACGAAATTCAGTTCGCATTAACCTGAAAATTTTCCCAGTTAGTGCGAATATAATTCAACTCTTAGGAAAATCCGTAAATATCACGAATTTTAAACCAGGCTCATGGCTCTTCACAAGTAGGTCAAAATATCCACAAATTGACGTGAAAAGATCGCCAATATACGCATCTGAATGTATTGTATTTCTACTGAATGGAATATATTGTATAGTTACAGACCTGTAATAATTTCCTCCTATGTCTCTCCAGTTTTAGTTCATGCTGTAACTCCCTTAACTTGTTCTCAGTTTGTTCCTGAGAAGAAGCCATCTCTCTCTGTCTCTCCTCAACTTTACGTACTGCCTCTTCCGAGTCTCGTTTCGCGAGTAGCTCTGTATCTAATTGGAATTGTGGTTGTAGTATTTCAGAGCTAGTTCTTAATTCATCGTACTTATGTTCTAATCGTGACATTTGTTCTTCAGTGTATTTCCTATGAAATTATGTATCATTACAGATGAATTAGCATCTTAATTATAATAAGCAAATCTTAACTGGAATATTTCGGGAATGGTTTTTGTAGCTATTATACGGAAGCACAGTAGAATCTCTATTAGTGGATGAGGTCTGATCTCCAGATAATTCCTCATATATAATTTTATAGGGAAATGTCCTTAAACTGAGATTTTTTAGTTTATGCACTTTACACTGTACATTATAGCACTCAGTATTATACTTTACCTGTCAAGTTCCGCTCTCCTCAACATCTCTCTTGTTGTTTCTAACTCTTGAGCTTGTTGCCAACATTTCTCGTTAATAGAATCCAGTCTACGCTCAACTTCATAGTTGTTAACGTTCTGAGGCTATATTAATACATTCAACATCCAGTAACTCAAACCTCAGGTCAGGGAAATCAAAATCCGTTCGAGATAGGTAAAATTCACGGATGGCCTCAATTTAAAGTATAGCCCAGGTCCATACAGTATTTATATTATCTGTAATTACCTGACTGGCTCTTGGTTCAAAAGGATAGCTATCCCTTAGCTCACTTACACTAACAGGCTGTATTCTAGAATGTTCTAGAACATTCTCTGTAACAGCAGATCTATCTAACAAATCTAATTGTTTCTGACTAGTCCGTGAGGAGAGAGATTCAAACTTTTCAGCAGCAGCAGCTCTCTCCGTCTCTAAACGAGCTATTTTACTCTGTAGAGCTCTCAATGCTTCTATCATAGCTTGAGAGTGTATACTATCACTGGTAGTGTCATGCTTGTTAGAAGGATATGAATATACTGTTTCACTGCTCTGATGATCTGCCAGAACCTGTGAAATTGGTTATTAGATAAATGTATGAGATAAGGGACGTTATACAATGGATGCAGGTTATAAGAACATGTATTGCTACTCCCAAGGGTGTTCTTATACCAGCATTCAATGTCTACCTCGAATTCTTGTGAATTTACTGTTAGTTGGCAACATGTTTCAGTTCCAGAATAATTATCTCATTTACCTACCGCATGAATAATGTAATTATTTCACCATTTTATCAGTTAAATTCAACTACACAATATATTAACTAACAGGTGAATAGTAGTGATTTTTATCTACACAGACCTCCTTTAACACGCTTAAGAAGTAGAATCATTGAAGTATTTCCATAAATTCGCCATTTTCTATTAGGATACCGTAAACTGGGGCTATTTTGGCCCACTGGGTTTGCTTTAGCCCAAATATCAAAGTTTCAAAGAAACTAGATTAGATTCAGTATTATACTTGAAAATGACTGACAAATTTTTAACGAATTTTCTAATATCGGTAAACAATTCGAATACAAATACAATATCTATTCGATACGTAAGCAAATTTCAATATTAGGGCTAAAGCAAACCCAGTTGGCCAAAATAGCCCCAGTTTACGGTAACGTCATAAATAATGATAATGAAATGCCGCCCGCATGCTTAGATGAACATCATGAGAATTGAAACAAGATTCTCATTAGTTAACAGGTGTTTATAATGGAGTATCTATAATCTCAGTAAATGGATACTAAACCTTCAAATTTGCACTGCTAACCTCTCTTATCGGTTTGAAAACTGAATCTCTCATCCCCTGAGGTTGTGCGTATGATATATTAGTACTAGCACTAACAATGGATAAGTTAGTAGGACTGTATGGCCTATCTCTTTCCTTGTCAATTCCCTGAAGAAACTGTTTGTAATAGTTGTCCTGTAATAAGTCCAACTCTTTGTAAGGAGTACTAGCTCCAGAGCGGACAGAGGGTAGAGAAGGAAGATCAATGTGTTCTGGCCATGTCTCCATTCGTAATTAGTTAGAGAAATATCTAATTTACGTATATACTGTAGAAACCGGAGTTTGTAATTGCGCTTCTTTCACACAAAGTACATATCCAAGAAACAGAACAGCACAAAATACAATGATTAATGAAATCGTGTTCACAAGTCATGAAAAGGCCCTGTCCGATTTCTGAAGGCTTTTAGAGGCTATTCTTGGTGTTTTGGTGGCAAAATTAACACAATTACAGAAATTATCACCACCAATAAGCCCAAAAGAAATGAGCACAATGAACCCTCCATAAAGGGCGAGGAAATTCTGGAAATATAGTGAAAAGTAAAGAGCAAATTTATATTCTCATACTAAAGAACTGTTAACGAAAATTTGGTCCCCTGAAAAATTTAACAGATAATGGGTAGCATTATTCACATCCCGGCACTGTTTGTAGAGCCTAACTGCCCTATAGTTACATTGTAGCTGATGACGTCATACCATTCGCCATCAGGTCAAAAAGGCAACGGAGGGATTCGAACTCTCGATCTCCTGTTTACTAGACAGGCGCTTTAACCAACTAAGCCACGTCGCCATATAATTTGAAAACGGCAAGGTGAGTACTTTTCATTCTACTTGCCAGACATTCTTAAATTCGGAAATTGAAATATATATGTCATAGTAGAAATATTTCAATTGACACATTACCTTCTACAAATACACTAATCGAAAAGTAATCCTTTCTAATAGAGAATAGATATTTTAATCTTGGTATTGGATTATGGATTCGCTTGTTTAGATGAAATTATTTTGAGGAATTCTGGTTTCAATGAAGCGCCTCCCACCAGGAAACCATCTATATCTTCCTGCGCAGCCAAATCTTTGCAATTACTTGCATTTACAGATCCTACAAACAAGTAACAAGTAACATGTAAGTTGAGTTATTACCTGTATAAGTATTTACTGAATTTATATAATTATGTCTCGTGAATCTGTGATTTTTTCGATGCACCATGCTCATTACATTTGTCCCCCCAATATCTAAATGCATCCGGCGCCCTTGTCTATAGTGTTGTTATTGGGGTGACCCGCATTGGGACCGCTCAAACTTGGGAGCTTGCCTACGGTTCGATGTTTAAATACGGGTCACTTGGGAGTTGGGACCTATGGAGAGTACTAGTATATCTGCCAAAATGAATTGGTATAGGGGTAATGGTTGAAAAGGTTGGGAACAGTTAATCTAGGCGCTTGGCGGGCACCTAAAACTGCCGAATGTGAGAATAGATTATATTAGTGATCTCTGCATCTAAATGCACAGTGAATTGGCATCTCTGATAGCGAGTCTGAGACTAAAAAGGCAAATCTCAGGAGAGCCAAAGCTAAGAAAAAGTGCTAGCCTCGAAATTCCTGGATAAATACTCGCGGCTATATTGGCGTCATTTAGGAAAAAAATCAAACCTGGGGTTCAGATCCTCCAGGTACCCAATACCTACCGTACCTACACCATAACCAATATACTTTGACACCTGTGTTTTGTTTGCTTTATTTACATCTATACTCTATAGCTATCTTAGCTAATTCAGATCAATGCAAATTAATTACACAAACAAGGCTACCTCCGTATATGATAATCTGTGAAGTACCTGCATCTGCAGATACCTTCTCTACCAACCATTCTCTGATATATTTATGAGCTTCTTGTGCCTGTAGAAATAACTAGATAATACAGTGGGTGCCGGATAAAAAGAACACAGGTTATAAGAACATGCCTGTTATAAGAACCATCTTCAGAAAACGGTTCTCATATATTCCTGTGTATTATGCCGGTTATAAGAACATTATGACCAATTCCCGAATCCCGACGATGTCCTTATAACCGGCATCCACTGTAATTACAGTCTTGTTCAGTATCAACAGCTGTTTACTCCTATTTATACCTGATCTGGTGTTGCGGTCTCTCCTGTACCTATTGCCCACACAGGTTCATAAGCTATTACTACTTTACTCCAATCTGTAATTTTATCTGTGAAATATATTATTACGTAAAGGGATTCTAAGTTCTAACTAACAACCAATTAGTGACGTCACGTGAATCATTGGATAGAAAATTCAAAATTCCTAACGTAAAGATATAGTCAACTCCCGTTACACGGATACATGGAATACCTGCTTATATACCGAAGTATGAAATTGTACAAATACTAATATAGCCACAAACCGTCAAAGTAACACATATATTTCTTCGATTATACCGAAATATTTATCGCGGTCCCTTGAGCTTTGATATAATGAGAGTTGACTGTAATGAAAAGCCCTTAGGCTTTTGCCACGATATTTTTTGTCTGTTGAATTTTCGTAAATATAGGAAAAACTAGCCTCCCTATTGGATTATGAGGCTTCTTGTTAGGGTACCTATTTATGAATTGCTATTTATCTTTTCAGTATTATTAATTTACCGAGACATGGAGTTAGTTGTTTAATAACAACTTCTTCCATCTTTCCTTCTTTCCTCTCTTCTAACTTCTCTCCAACACACAGAATTATTTTCAGTCCAGCATTCAGTGCATGTAACACTTTATCACTTATCAACTACATCAATTGATCCAAACATTTAATCCTGTACTTATTGAGTCTCACAGTCGACACTTTCACTTTGTGTCCTTCATGGCTGCTGAACTAGCACTCTTAGGTGCCAGCTAAGCACCCTACTGCGGACCTCCTGTTGTAGTCCGTGGACCACTAAGGGAGCAATTTACCCAGGTTGAGAACCTCTGCCATGTGTTACAATAAACAGTCATGATAATACTAGTCAGTATATAACGTAAACTTTTCATGCGCTATTTAACGTTCAAACCTTTACTTATTGAAATTACTTGAATTTGGTTCATGGATTACCTGATCTGTTTCCTGGAATACATTTCTCCTTTCTGAATGTCCCAGTATTACATATGTAGCTTTTACATCTAATATCATTTCAGGACTAAAACAGTAAACTTATCACGTTCTATCCCTTAGAATTACGAATATGGAGATTAATCCTCACCTTATCTCGCCAGTGAAAGGCCCCTTGCTGTCTTTATAGCAGTTCTGAGCTGATACACAAATGTTACTAGCTGCTAACTTATTGACTACATGCTGAAGGTAGAGTGTGGGTGGAGATACGACTACATCTATGGAATGTTATAGCAATTAATTGAGTTTAGTGTATCTCCTATTGGGAGATGTGACAGCGTCTGCTCGATCTTGCTATATGATATTAGTTATTTAACAATGGATGGGGGATTTATTATTTTATGTTATATAGAAGGGTCGCCCTTTCACAAAGAGAGGAGACCTCAAAATTGACCTATAACATAACAATATCCAAGTAGACTAACTAAATTCACCATCCATGGTTAATTACTAATAACATATAGGAGGGTATTATATGCTAAAACTGGCACATTTACAAGCTATTTCAATGAATCTTTGGTTAAAATAACTTTACAACACGACCAACCACTAATCTTGCATATCAGTATGATTAGCTAATCTCTAAGACAATGTCTATGACAGAACAAAGTAGAAAATCACTGATGCCAAACTCAAACAACAGTTATATTAACCTTGGCCTGACACCTGTCAAACACTTCACAATAGAAGAATACGATGAATACGGTCATCTCAATCAGGGTGGAATTCTATCTAACATGACAGCAGGTGCCGCAGCTGGTATAGTTGAGCATTGTATAATGTATCCGGTAGATTGTATCAAGACTAGAATGATGTTACAACAACCGGTGACTGGTGGAACGTACCGGGGAATAGTTGAGGGATTACGGTCGGTTATTCTCCATGAATCCCCGCGTAACTTGTTCCGAGGGATTGGGTTTGTCGCGTGCGGCGCTGGCCCCGCCCACGCGTGTTATTACACAACATATGAGACGTTTAAAAGACAGATCGGCGAATTTCGCGATGAACACGATTCCCAGATAAACTATGCTATATCCGGTGCATTTGCTACCCTCGTGCACGACTCATTCATGACGCCAGTTGATGCAGTAAAACAGCGTCTACAAATGTTCAGAAGTCCATACAAGAACGTTTATAATGCTATCCATGGTATGTTTATGAAAGAAGGCATACGAGCATTCTATAGAAGTTTCACCACACAGTTATCAATGAATATACCAACTCAAAGCACTAATTTTGTCGTATACGAAACTGTTCATATATTATTAAACCCAGAGAAATGCTATAATCCAAAGGTTCATGTTGTTGCTGGCTGTTTGGCAGGCGCCGCAGCTGCTGTCATTTCTACGCCGATGGATGTAGCTAAAACTCTTCTAAATGTTCAAGAAAAATCTCTCTCAAAACAGCTCAAAAATAATAAACCGATAATTGGAATGATAAATTCATTTTCTCTTATATATAGAACAAATGGAATGTCTGGGTTCATAAGGGGCTTGAGGGCTCGTGTTGTATATTTAACACCTTCAACAGGTATCAGCTGGTCGGTTTATGAACTTTTCAAATACATCTTGGGACTGAGAGAAGGCAAAAGAGTTTAAAATCTGGAATGAGACCTGTTCAAACACTTAGAGTAGAGAACTAATTAATCTTGAATCGTTTTGCTATAATTGTATTCTCTCGTTAATTAGTTATCGAATTAGATCAATATTTTTACTTTTTTATTTTAGAATTCTTTTATGTAGCAAAAGCTTGTTAACTCAACTAGCTACCATATAAGGAAATATTCAACGCAGTAGACTTCAAACATGAAATTAGTTCCCATTCATTATAACACATTTCCTATTCGGATAAGACTTACACTCGGATTCAGATAGTATTGTTTCCCAAAGGAGTACGTCTTGACCGAATTCTACTGTATTTATATCTTCATAATAACAAACTTTAGCTACCAGAAACTCAGTTCCATACGAAGAAATGTCCAAACGCCCCTGTATGACAATTATTGGCCGATATTTACAATAAATTTTATGAGAAATACTTTAGTTAATAATTGTATTTCTGGACCATGGACACCAATTTAAAATAAGGTTAGAGTCGTATTATATAATGACTTAAAGTATAAATTACAGTATTAGATCCATACTTGCTAACTGTCCCGAAAAAACTTGCACAAAACCTTAATTATCCCGCTTTTGTAGTCAAGTCTAATGCAATCATGCTACGTCCCACGATGTCCCGCTAATGAGTGCCTTTCATTCCGGTTTTTCCTTCACTCTGTTTGGCAAGTATGTGGACCATAGAATGCTATGACTGGACATTATCATATGGGAATATTGGGTAATAGTAATGAGATAGCAAATGTGAAATACACTGAAATATGAATTTTGCAGTGTTAGCAGACACCCTTTGAAAAATTATTTGTGTATATTAATCTTATCAAATAGTGCATTAGTAAGTTCTACTTTTAACACGGGACATTTTGTCAAAATTATGTTGCAATGAACCTAAAATCGCTGACTAGAGGGATATACGCGTAATGTGTATTGTTACCAGTGTTGGGAGGTATAGGATGTTGTAAGAGTAGAGTGACCAGCTGGTCAATTGATTCTAGACTACCATTCATCTTCCAGTTGCCTCCGACGA